CCTGCCCTTCTCCAATGCAATCTTCATTGAGGATTAGGGGGTGTCATGACTATTGGTCATATTTATAACCTATGCCAACTCAATTCACACTCAAATCGCCTCAATAATAGAAACCTGCCATTGCTACGCCTTGGTATGCAAAAGTTGAACTTTAATGAAGGATTGCAAGCTCAGTCAGGCTAATCTTGGCAGCCCTAGTTCTTCTATTGTGGCCTGTATTTTGCAAGTCATGTTGTATTCAGTTCATCACAACTCACTGCATAGAGAATAGACCCACAATGAGTAAATATATATTAATTAAACCATCAAACGCACATATATTTCCAGTAAAAAAAAATTGTATTTAACTGCAGCTTAGTGAAATTGCTATAAACAAAATAACACAGTAATTGCTAGTTTGAGTGTGAAATGTCAGATATAGTCTCCATAAATATGTTGAAAATGTATCCAGAATACTCATGCTCTTCGTGTCTATAAATTCTCAGAATATTGTATATTTATAATGTGGTCTCTAAATTTCTACTTATGATGGAAGAAACGTGGGAGTGTGTGACCCCCAAAGAGAAAATTATGTATTTTTGTATAAACTGTGTTTTAAAATTTCATGTGAGGTTTGGAATGAGGGGAATCTCTTAAACCTTTAGATGGGTTATGCTAACAAATAACCTATAATAATTCTGTGATTAAGGAATTTGTAATAGTTTTTAAGCCTTTTAAATAAAGTAATTTTTATGAATTATTTATACAGATTTTGCAAGGCTAAATTTAGAAGCAAAAATAGGCGTATTCACTAAACAGTAAGTTAAAGGTTGTTTCCAGACAATTAACAAAATTTAGACAAAATAACTATGCATTTTAACACTTTCTAGATTTATTTTTTTCCCCCAATATTTTTCCAAAACATTTTCAGTCAAATGACAGTCAAATGAGTCATGAATACATGCTGTTTAGTGAAATAAATCAATACGGACAATTTATGAAAGATAAGTGATAAAAAAGTGATCACTACAGAAACAAATACATTCTTTCAACATTTAAATTGTTATTTACTAAAGTAAGAATTTCTTGAATTCAAAGTGAATTCAAAGTGAATTTCAAATTTAAAGCCAAAATAGCCAAACTGGATGTATTCTCCTAGACATCAATGCATTTTGAGATTATTTTTACCTCAGAGTTGAAATTCTCTTTGAATTTATTTTGAATTCCTGACAATTCTCACTTTGGTAATCAAGCCTGTTAGCATTTTGCCTGCAAATGGCAGCAATTCTTACTTGATAATTCTACCCCTTTGTTAAGATATCATTAAAATAACATTGTTTAAAGGGACACCTTGTTTCTCCAATAAGAGAGTTGTTCATATGATTAGGGTTCACTGTAAATATTTCTGTAATTAATAGTTCAATATTCAATAGTAATTCAATATTTACTATTTACTATCAGTACTTGCTCTCACAAATAAACCCACACAATGCTGCTACTAGAAATTCAGCATACATGGCTGACACACCTGGAAATAGTTTTAGTCGGGAAATCAAACTAGAATATAAAGTGTCACTAATTCTAATCTCAACAATATGTTTGTGGGTTCCTCCTACATATGTGTGGGTATAGCATAGTATATCCTGTTTTCAGAAAGACTAATTTGATATTTTCCATCTCATCTATTTAAGCTCTGTGTGGCAATTATCTTAACTACTCTTGAGCAGGGTGGAAAAGTTTGGTACTTCCAAAACACTTTGGCATGTAAAAAAAGTTTGGGTCGCCAGAATTTAATTCATGCTCCTGTTTTGCTCAGCCAAATTTCAGCACTGAATATTTTTTTGACAGAGCATTTCGGGCAGCAAGAACAGCAGGGGGAAAGGGACTATGACTGTGCTAACATGCAAACATGTCTACAATATTGCCTGGTCTAATGAATATGCAATGTCAGCCATTTTTGCCAAAATTAGAATATTATACTTCTGGATTGAAAAAACGTGAGAGAACTTACAGGTATAATAATTGATTGTAATCTTTTTCCTTTGGCTATCTTGTGTTAAGAAAAATAGGAAGCATGAGCTTATTCCAGTATCTCAGAGGTTCCTCAGTAGAAGACCAATTATGTTCAGACAGGTACGCTCTGACCATTTAAGAAGCCCTACTCTACTTTCGGCTGCTTATTACTTTACTTGCTCCCACCAAACCACCAAAACCTTACTGCTTCACTCTGTCTTGGGGTTATGCTGCCAGTACTGCTGTCTGTGAGCAGCAACATAGTAGGTTCAATGAACACATGTTCTTCCACCAGCACTCTTCTTTCTATGTAAATCACAGACCGTGTTTTATAAGTCTGTCCCTAACGGCACCAACAAAGTTTCTGATGAGCTCTCATTTAGTTGATTCTTGAGGGGGTTCCAAGAAATAGGGGGTAACACAGGCAACAGCAACAATTCTACTGATTTTACTGATCCCTTGCTTTGAGCATTCTAAAATGCCAAAGTTGTAATGCTTGAACTAGCTGTGCTAAAAGGAATTGCAGTGGCAGTGGATTAGGAGGCAACATTGATGATTGTGGGTTTGTTTTTCTTATTATAAATTTTTTATGATATGAATGATTGTGTATAGCTTAAACTAACACAACTTTAATCGGCAAAAATAGCTGTATGTTGCAAAATGTGTTTGTGTTTGGTGGATTTACTACTGTAGCGTTGTTGTGTTTGACGTTAAGAAACACGGCACAGTAAATGCTCACAATGCTCACAACCCTGTACAAGACACGCTGAACTGAACACAAACACAAAACCAGTTAAAGAGACATTGTAAGCATCTATTTGAATTGGTTATGGTGCCTAGATTCCCCTGACACTGCCCTTCCATTCAATTTTAAACCATTTTCGAGCAGTTAGAAGAGTTTTTAGCCACCCACAGTTTAGTTCCCACTAGAGGTATGGCTAAGACAGAGATACACTTCTTTCTAGCCATACCAACCCATCCAGCAATGACGTCAGTCATAGCCTAAAAGCAGTCAGATAACACTCTCAGCCAACCACATCCACCCATTACTGTTCCGGCTAATTCTTCCTCACTAGCCCAAGCACCACAGATGGGATGGGTTTATAGGGACTCATGTTTAGGATTAGAACATTAGATATGGTTAAATGGTTAAATGTTATAAGAAGAAGCTAAACCTAGTCACACACTAGGATCAATAACACAGGCTATCCCCCTCTCCAACACGGGCTCATCACTGTATCACTGCTGGTCTGTCTTCCCCAATAGCTGAAGTCAACATGTCTAGAAGAATTCTGCTTTGACGTATATTATTGTAAATCCTTTTCCCCTCTATTGGTCACTTCACTGGATCTGTCTACTGAAAGGAAACATACCAAGTGAATTTTACAGGAAATTACAGGAAAGCATTAAAGCATGAAAGCTTGACGTGTTTCTTTAATACAAGCATGTCAAACTCAAGGCCCACAGGCCGCATGCAGCCCACAAGGACAGTCTTTGCGGCCCGGCGAGCCGCGAGTGCATGCTCAGTGTTTTAGTCAGTGAGTATGTGTGTGTGTCTGTCAGTGTGTGTGTCTGTCAGTCAGTGAGTGTGTGTGTCTCTGTGTGTCTGTCAGCAAGTATGTGTGTGTCTGTCAGTGAGTATGTGTCTGTGTGTGTCTGTCAGTGAGTTTGTGTGTGTGTCTGTCAGCAAGTATGTGTGTGTCTGTCAGTGTGTGTGTCTTTCTGTCAATGGGTATGTGTGTCTGTCAGCAAGTATGTGTGTGTCTGTCAGTGAGTGTGTGTGTGTGTGTCTGTCTGCAAGTATGTGTGTGTCTGTCAGTGAGTGTGTGTGTGTGTGTCTGTCAGCAAGTATGTGTGTGTCTGTCAGCAAGTATGTGTGTGTCTGTCTGTGAGTATGTGTGCGTGAGTCTGTCAGTGAGTGTGTGTGTGTGTGTCTGTCTGTGTGTGTGTCTGTCAGCAAGTATGTGTGTGTCTGTCAGTGAGTATGCGTGTGTGTGTCTGTCAGTGTGTCTGTATGTGTGTGTCTGTCAGTGTGTCTGTATGTGTCTGTCTGTCTGTGAGTATGTGTGTGTGTCTGCCTGTGAGTATGTGTGTGTGTGTCTGTCTGTCAGTGAGCATGTGTGTGTGTATGTCTGTCTGTCAGTGAGTATGTGTGTGTGTCTGTCAGTGAGTATGTGTGCATGTGTGTGTGCGTGCGGCCCACATAAACTTAAACCTTGTTTATGTGGCCCGTGCCACACTTTGAGTTTGACTTGCTTGCTTTAATATATTCAAGTAATTAGGCCCATCAGCACATTTAGCTCCAGGACCATGATGTCCGTAATTCGGCCCTGATCTGTGCAAACAAGAAATAGTGGAATGAAATGCTTGTTTCCACCTAGAGTATTTTTTTCTATGTAAGACTGGCCACTTTATCATATTTGCCAGATTTACATTGTATCTAATAATGTATAAACTTAAAAGGCACGAATTGCATTCTAAAATATTTAACATGCACAGTAGGGTGGACAAGAAGAGATTCAAATGATGCAGGGGTAAATAATACAACCATTCAGAATCAAGAGTGTTAACTGAAGGATTCTTCTTGCAATACATGAATTTTGTGGTAGTTGACATTACTCACTAAATATAAATAGGGTGTAATGTCAACATTTTATATTTTGATATTTTTGTGATCCATTTTGCTATGGTTTATTTTCATATTGAAGGCTTACATGTGAACTTTAATCTGTGTTCCTCGCTGCCTTAAAGCCGCACTGTCACGCCGATCTTAACTTTCTCCTATTATTCCCCTCTCAGAATCTGTTCTTCTTTTTTTATTTTTTATTTAGCTTTCTTTAAAACATAAGATAGGAGGCGGAGCCTAACCTCTCATGGAGACGGACGCGTGAGCCCTTAGCTTTCCAACCCCAGGATTACAATCAGCCGCCATCAGCGCTTAAAATCAGGCATCTCGCCACCAAAAACCCACCGACACCCCCTACTCACCTTACCTACCCCCCTACACCATGGGAGGCACCAAAAAAAGAAGAGACACTACCCCTTCAGTGGCCACGCTATTCCGCGGAAAGGAAGACAGGCGGCCATCTTTATCACAAGGCCACACAGAAACAGGCTCCGACTCGGACGAATACGAGACCACGGAATGCCAAACTACACCACTCACGAAAGAGGACCTTAAGAAGATGCTCAGGGAGACATCTGACGACATCAAGGCCTACACAACGGCTGCCCTGGAAAAACAAATCGCAAGCCTCAAAGACGACATAGAGGCCCTGGCCTCACGCACTAGCCGTGCAGAAACTCAGATTACAGAAACACAGACCACGGCAAAGACACACACCAGGGACATAGAGGCACTGCAAGAAAAGATCCTATACCTGGAGGATGGCTTGGAAGATCTAAATAATAGGTCACGGAGGCAAAACATCCGGATACGGGGCCTACCTGAATCAGTCCTTCCAGAGACACTACTACCCACCATCCGGGCGATCTTCCACTCCCTCCTCCCGGACACATCCGAACAGGAACTCTACATCGAGCGAGCCCATAGAGCCCTGCATCCCCCAACCTTCAACATGAACGCTCCCAGGGACATTATAACCAAACTCCAATACTTCCCCATCAAAGAGAGGCTCATGAAAGCCACGCGGGATAACCCGCCAACGTATTAAGGCCAAACCTTGCATTTCTACCAGGACCTGACATCGACCATGTTGCGGAAGTGCCGGGAACTCAAGCCTCTAACTACCGCACTCATGGAGAAAGGCTGGCGCTATATGTGGGGACATCCCTTCAAACTCCTCGTCAAGAAGGGAGATCAGACATATACCCTCCACCACGTCACGGATATGCAAGACTTTGCCCAATACATAGGACTCCCACTACGCCAACCAGCCCCGGATACCGACTCCTCCATACCCTCAGGGGACAGCCGGCATGGCGAACCTCGACCTCCCAGACAACAGGCCAAACCGAGACCACCAACCGCCACCAGGGGACAAGCTCAAACGGACACATGAACTTGGGCGCAAGCCCGCCACGAGGCCCTCCTGCTAAACCACATGGGTCCCTCATGACCCTCCAGTTCTTAGACGTAAAGTATCAAGTTTATTAAGTTTATTAAGTTTATTGTTTGATGTTTATGCTCGGTTCCCAAATGCAATTTGTAAGACTTAGCACCCCGGGAACACCTTAGCAGCATGGCATCAGCACCCACCTGAGCCGTAAACGCCTGGGCTCTCCCCCAGCTCCACTCACGGCCACGGGCCACAAGAGAGACATTAAGGCCAGGGAACATGACCAAGAGCCACTAAAACACAGCTTAGCGCTCCAGGCCCCCAAACCCAGACCCGAAAGACTGCCCGGCGGACACGATGCTAACCCCCAGACCCAACCACTCACCTCAGGCCCTAGACAGCACGCAAAGCACCGGGCTTAAGACCCTCGGCCACGAAAGGCCAGACCCCACCCTCCAGACCTGTAAGCTAAGGCATAAGGTAAAACCTCCCATAGGCCACAACACCCATCAACTTAACGTTAGCCACACAGGAGGGGATACACTGAAGGCATAGTATGGGGAACGGGAGTCACCGATAAACCGGGCAGGCCCACACAAGCGCAAGCAAGGGATCACATGCAATGCACAATGTTAAATGTATAAAAATGTACTCTGCAGTATGTCATGCAATAACCTGAAGTTCAATGATTGTTATGTAATGTTAATCACTTATTTCACAGTGAATGACCCCCCCAAACACCTTGCAGACCCACCACCCCTGCAAACAATAACACCCCCAAACATAACAGAAACGAGGGCTCCACCCTCTACACAAAGCACCCGCCCCTTCCGGCTCACAAGGCAACCTGCCGAGCCAATCACCAATCCACCCTGTTGCCGATGACAACCTTAGATCACAGCAACCGACAGCACCGAGACCCCACCGGGGCACCCCCTCTACCGTACCAACAAGAAGGTGGCACAACTGCCCCCCAGGGACAGCCCGGAGACAAACTCAGACCCGGACAAACCCCTACACCACTAGCAGTACGGAGAACCAACTCGACACACATACGGGACTGGGGACCCCCCTCACAGACTGCCCTGCACGGTAACCCTAGATCCCCTCATTGGGGCTAGAACTTCACTGGATACATTATAAGATGCAAGAAGATACCCCAAGACCCTGCCCACACGACAACAAAACCCACGACCAAGACACCCCACCAGACCACCACCGCATTATACCTACCACAGAAACGGGGTTAGGCAAACCCCCCACCGCAGATACAGAGAGGTAACAGTTGAGTCAGACCTCCTTGTGGGCATATGTCTCATTCCAAGACCAATGACCCACCACCCATAGAGACGGCACATGCCCCACACAAGCAATACCCACCCTAGCAACAACCCAAGCAACGAGTCACTACGAACCCCATCTGACGCGAACACTGGGACTCAATGCACACTACTTGACCCCTATACGCAAATATCTAAGGGATACCGAGACCCAACCCCCACACTGGCACGTAAGGCAACAGATAAACAAGGGACACACCCGGGCACACTGGAACAACTCCACAAGGCAGATGACCGACCACCAGGACAACCGCCCCTATACACTCGACCCAGCCACGACGTCATGAGATGACTATGCACACCTCCACTCGACTGCACACCAAGTTAAACCGAACCACACCAGACAAGATGACCACCCCACATAGTACCCCCGTCCCCGAGAAACAAACCAGACCACACGGGGGACACACCCCTCACCTCACCACACACACCAGCGAGATGCAACACTCGAACAATCCCGGGGGGGGACAGCGTCTGACACACCGGACGTCTTTACCCCGCGACCCCCCCACAAACTCCATACTCTCGGTACTCTCCCCAACCCAACCCAGGGCAGAGACCGAAGAAAAGACACAACATCGAAACAGCGAACACAAGCCCATGGACGCAACCCCCTCTGCCCACACACCACCTGGCAGCAGCTCAATAAGACCAGGTACCCCCAACCCCCCTTATTATTATTTTTTTCTCTTCCCCCTCTCTCTCTCTCTTCCTTCTTTCTTCCTCTTCTCCCCCCTCTTCCTCACCCTTGTGGCACCCCCCCGGCCTTACCCCCCCACACCACGAACAGCAGGACACGCCTCAAAATCTAAATACCCCAACCACAATAGATGCCGGCTACACTGACCTGCCTATCAATCAACTGCAAAGGCCTCAACAACCCCTCCAAAAGGCACCAACTCATGCGATGGGCCAACAATTCGAAAGCAGACATACTCCTACTACAGGAGACGCACTTCACCCAAGCCAAACAGTTCCCTCTCCTGAGCCAACACTACCGGGTGAACCACTACGCCAGCTCCCCAACGGGAAAACACAACGGCGTTGCCATTATCATCCGGAAGTCCTGCCCCCTCACAGTCAACAACACAATCGCCGACCCACAAGGCAGATACCTCACAATAACAGGTAGAATTGGACCGCAACAATATGCATTCACCTCGCCCACCTGGAACAAGCACTGAAAACACTTAGAACCCTGGAGACCACGCTAAAACTCGACCCCACACCAGACACGATAGAGAAAATCGCAAAATGCCAAGCCGAGATCAAGGAATACATGAAAAAGAACGCAACAAAAGCCCTACTGTGGTCCAAACAGCTCTTTTACGATAAGGCTAACAAGGCTGACACCCTCTTAGCACGAAAACTCAGACAACGGACGGCTCAGAAACAGATAAACAGAATAACCACGCCAAACAGAGCCATAACCGAAGACCCCACCAAGATCGCCGAAGTCTTTCAAAACTACTTCACGTCCCTATACGACCACGACCCAGAAACACGGCGGAACCCAAACGCCACCCAAACACTCATCGACCACTACCTGGCGCACACCCCACTACCTTCTCTAGCAAACGAAGCTGCACAAAAACTGACTGACACGATAACACCAAAAGAACTCGCAGGTACCATGAAATCACTCAAACCAAACAAAAGTCCGGGTCTGGATGGGTTCACTAGGTTATACTATAAAACGACGACCTCCCTACCGCCACTCCTACAAGCCCTAGAGGAGTGCACCAAAATCTCAGGTTACAAACTTAATATGGACAAAACAGAAGCCCTACCCATACACATAGACCCCGCCACTCTAGAGGACCTCCAAAAGACGTACCCTTTCACTGGGTTATACTATAAAACGTTCGCCCCTACGCTTATCCCCCACCTATGCAACTTAAACAATGCCATCCTACAAGGCAACACACTGCCACAAGAAATGCTTCAGGCCGCTGTCTGCCTCCTCCCCAAACCCAATAAAACACACTTAGACCCAGGCCACTTCCGGCCCATCTCCCTACTTAATGTAGACATAAAATTATTCACCAAACTCATGGCAGACAGGATTTGCCCCCACCTACCCCAACTCATCCACCCCGACCAGGTGGGGTTCATCCCCACAAGACAAGCTAGCGACAACACCAGGAGAACATTCGACCTCATATGGGCCGCATCCACAAGACACATCCCTACCCTCCTCTTATCCTTAGACGCAGAAAAGGCTTTCGACAGGCTGCTCTGGCCGTACCTCTTCGCAACTCTCCAAAAATTCGGATTCCCTTCAAGCTTCCTGAGTGCACTGCGCACACTATACGCCTCACCCCGAGCCAGCCTCTTACTGCCTCTCACACAACCACACATGTTCACTATACATAATGGAACACGACAGGGCTGCCCTCTATCGCCGATCTTGTTCGCCTTATCCCTAGAACCGCTCCTACAGAACCTTCGACGAAACCCTGCCATAAAAGGCCTCAAAATTCGCGAAGAAGTATATATAACCGCAGCTTACGCGGACGACTTACTCATCACCCTCAAGGATCCGACGACCTCCCTACCGCCACTCCTACAAGCCCTAGAGGAGTACACCAAAATCTCAGGTTACAAACTTAATATGGACAAAACAGAAGTCCTACCCATACACATAGACCCCGCCACTCTAGAGGACCTACAAAAGACGTACCCTTTCAAGATAAACGCCAACCAAATACAATACCTAGGCATCGCTCTACCCACAGACCTCTCCCAAAGCTAAACCCTGAACTACACCCCAATCATACAGAAAATCACACATGACATCGATACATGGCAGAACATGCCGATATCCTGGCTAGGCAGACTAGCCTCGGTTAAAATGAACATCCTGCCTAGGCTTCTATACCTATTTCAAGCCCTCCCAATCCCAATTTCCGACCCGGAATTCAAACGACTGCAGACAACAATATTCAAGTTCATATGGTCCAATCGACGCACGTGAATAAAGAGGCAAACCTTGTATGTGCCTAACAGGGCCGGCGGCCTAGGCCTCCCACACCTCACCCACTATTACCAGGCTGCACAACTAACGCAGGCACAAAACCTGCACGCCCCATACGGAGTCAAAAGATGGGTGGATCTTGAGCATGACATATTCGGCAGAGACCACCCCTCCCTCTACATCTGGCTACCGAAACACACCAGACCCCCCATGCCACTGACATCCTCAGCGGTGACCAATACCATCAGAATATGGGATAGAATAGCACACAAAAGTGGCCTCACTACACCCCTGTCCCCGCTAACGCCAATACTTCGCAACACACAATTCCCCCCAGG